CGGCTCAGTAGATCGGGAGGTGAGCGAACACATACCGGCGTTCGCTCACCTCTCGATCCTGTCGTGGCTCTCTGCCGTGACAGGGGAGGGGCTGGATTCCCCCGCTCCGATCTGCCAGCGCTGACTGGCGGAACGGACGGGGAAGGGGGCGGGTACAGCTGGCTCTGCCTCTAGATAGGCAGAGCCAGCTGTCAGTCACGCAGCTGGGCGGATCCCGGCACAATTGTTGGGATCCGCTTCAGCTGCGGCGCCTCAGTATACCGCGAGCAGCAGCTCGCGGTATACCGCAAGCTACAGCTCGCGGTATACTGAGCCTAGGGTGATGGGAGGACGCTAGTTTGTGTCCTCCCGTTACCCTAAGGAGAACTATGGGGAAAAGCCTTAACCCCATAGTTTTCCTTTAATAGTTGGATTGGTTCTTCATTTTGCCTTTGTTTTTTTAGACAGCTTACATTTACAACTGTCAGTCATCTCATTGCATTACTAGCATAACTCAAGTATTACATTGTCTGCAAACAAAAAAACTGTAATTTTGCATGACACTTAGACAATTTCTTCTCTGTATTTAAGGAGATCAAGCCTTAAGAATGTTTCCGATTTGTTTGTTATGGGTGGTGCATTGGTGTTAGAGTCTGCTGCCCTTCTGCACTGGCTGGAGAGAGAAGGGTATGGTCCTTTGGGCATGACTGGGATTTCAATGGGAGGACATGTAAGTTTTCATGTGTTTTTAGTTTGGGGTTTCTAATAAATCCTGCTGTTAACATTTATTTGGGAAATATTGCTGACTGGTTTTTCTGGTCTGATCAGAGGATTGCACGCCATTTGATGTTCTCTCTCTGCTATTGTATTTACATGTCTGGCTCTTTGGTGAAGCTTTGTTCACTTGCATGTTTGGTTCACATTAAAATAATGATGGGAGTTAAGGCTAGTGCTCTGAATCAGCCGCTAGTTTTCCTGGCTTTCATACCTATTTGGAACTCCAGTATTGATATGTCCTTGCTGTAGCTCTCAGGTCAGTACCCTCTCTGCCATAGAGTCTTGGTCTTAAGCTGGCCATACACTAAAGGCTCAGTTATATAATCCACTCGAAACAGCATGGATGAAGCTCCACCCGGCTATCGTATTCTGACAGGAGCAGGTGTGCCGCTGTGCAAAATTTTGACCAGTGACTGCAACTGGTTGGCTGCAATAACTATTTGGTCCAGAATTTTCCGACCGACTCCTTCAACAAAAGTCAAGGAACATATAGACTTTTGTCAAATGGAGGTGTGCCAATGGGGCCACACATTGGTTGAATTTTGCCTGAGTTCTTATGAGAGCAGTGTATGGCCAGCCTTACTCCTGCTGTATTCCCCATAGTGACAAACCCAACATAAATGTCCAAGCCATTTATAATGGCCACAGCAGGTGGCCAGACTTGGAATAAGGAGATTATGGGTAATTTTAAGAGTGTGGCATCTACCAGAGCAGCAATATCTACTTTACAATGTAAACCATATCTCAGTGTTTCTGTTTTTTACTGTATTTTAGTGAACTATAATATATCTTTCTTCTTCCAAATTTTCTAGGACAGTTTGTAGATTGTGGGCTTGTTTTGCAGGAATTTATAAACTTTCCTTTTCTGTTATATTTACTGCGCCGCTGTGTGCTTTCAACAGTTAGTGTTTTATATGTCAGGCGTCACCATTATTATTTTTAAAGTGACACTATACTCTGGAGTTAAATCTTAAAAAGGCATTCAAGTACCTTTAACTAGTAACAAAAATGTATCTTATTTGTACATCACTCAGCTGTAGATTCTCAAATCATCTCTGAATTGGTGCTGACACGGTCCTTCCTTCTGGAGGGTGGCTACTTTTGTTCCCCATGGTCCCTGTGTGTGTTGCCATGTAACCATCACTCCAAGCTCACTCCTGTGATGGACCACAATCTCATGTTTAGTTTACTAATTTGTATTTAAGTTCTAGTACACCATGTCTTTTTAATATTTAACTCCTGAGTTTAGGGTCACTTTAAGATAATTAGCCAGTGTAGTAGGCTAAAGATATTGATCTGTGTGTTTTCAGATGGCTTCACTGGCAGTGACTAACTGGCCGAAACCAATTCCTCTGGTCCCATGTCTTTCCTGGTCAACCGCCTCTGGGGTCTTCACAACGGTGAGTTCACATCTGTTGCTTGTATTTAAAACATTTTCCCTTTTTTTTTTTTTCCCTAAAAAGTTCAAAATCTCTTAGCTTAGGAAGTACTCCAGTGGCGGAGTCTCCTTCCTTGAATCAACTGATTGGTTTCAACTACTGTACATGCTGCCATCCTATGAACTTAAAATAATGCAAACACAGGTCTTTACACCGAAGCCCATTAAAATGTGTGGGTTTCTGGGTCTTGTGTTGTGCCAGACTAGTTCTGCTGTATGCTTTAGGGAACTACCTCCTAACTGAAGGGTTGATAGGCTTTTCTGTGGTATGTGTGTTTTCTTTAATTTACAAAAATTTGGGTATGCCTTTTAGGTACATTGATGGTTTGTTTCTTACCCCTATAACTGTAATTTACAAATAATCTTAATTGTCCTAATAGGATGTTTTTAAAATAAATTGCTTACATTTTCTTGATGTTTTCCTCTTAGGGCGTTCTAAGCAAAGCTGTAAACTGGAGAGAGCTGGAGAAACAATACTTTACACAGACAGTATATGAGGATGAGATCTTGCACTTGCTTGAATACTGTGGGGTAGGTAAACAATCTGAACAGTTCCTTAGGTGCATCACAGCAAGACTGCAAAGACCAATGACCTGTATTAACTCAATTACATTTAAAAAAAAGCTGATTGCAACAGTTATGCTGTTCTTTAATATTGCTGGAACTGTGTAACTTTGTAAATTCTGCTTGTAACTGTGGTATGCACTTAAGGGTGAAGAAGTGAGTGTTTGGGAGATTATTCTGTATACAGTCACAATCTGGGCTCTACCATGTACCTGTATTGTTTACGTCCACTTCTTTGTCCACCATGCTTGTCTTCATCCTGGGTATAGAATATAACCACTCATGGAGAACTTGCAGGATGGCTTGCCCAGAATGCAACTGATGCTGGTTACATTTAGCCCAGGAGACATGTGGATGATGCTTCTTAATACCCCAACAAAAGTAATTGAAAAAAAATCCATGACCACATTACCTTTTTTTTTTTAAATGTTTTAAAGTGGAAGTTTACCCTTGACATGTAACTTGACAAATGCATAGCACCATGTTTGACTTCTGTCCGCGTTCCAATTGTCCAGCAATCAGCATTGAAAACTCCCGGCCATTTACCAGCAACACCATGCTATCTGTGTGTTGTGATTGCAAAACGCCTGACTGGGGAACCCTCCCTATGTGCTCAGATGCTGGCAAAGATGTAGGCAGCACAAGGAAAGCTGAGTGACACCATGAGTTGAATGATGTCAGTAGTAAATGGCCAGCAGTTTCCAATCCTGATAGCTGGACAACTGAAGTGTGGACAGAAGTCAAACATGGTGCTGTGCATTCATCAAGGTATTAAAAGACTTTGATCAAAAGCTTTTGATGTGCACATAAGCTTGAAAAAAAGTGCACTGTAAGAACGATGTTAAGATGCGTTTATGATTGAAGCTGTAAACACCGTTTTGAAGGATTATTTCACACACTAACTGCTCCTATCTTTTTTATTTGTATGTCCAAGATTTGTAACTGGTAAACTGTATTGTTTATGCACATGTTAATGTTATTCTGAGAATTTCTTCTTCATTTTAGGCAGATTCTTTCAAGATGGGGCAGGACTTTGTTAAAAACTCCCCAAGAAGTGTTGACAGTCTGACCCATTTAAAACTTGCTGCCAAACTTTTCCGCCTTAACAGCACCAGGGAGCCGTCATCTCCTGATGCTCTTCAAGCAGGAAGTAGCAGAGAAAAGGACATTATGTTTCAGGGTGACTCTAAAGTGTCATATATTGGACAGGCAATGAGTGCTGGTTTCCGCAACCCCCAAAAGACGGAAGACACAAAGAGGAGTGAAGCCCTGCAGAGGGAATCTTGGTTATTTATGAAAGGTGTCATGGATGAGTGCACACATGTAGGCAACTTCTCAGGTATGGACTATGCACTCCCACATCGTCCTGAATATTCTCACTTTCATTCCCTGTCCTGTGCTGTGCCCAAATGTAACTAAAGTCATTTCTATTCACCACTGACATGAATGCCACAGCATGGTAAATTAGCTTACCATTAACATGCATGCGTAAATACACTGTTAGATGGAATAGTTATAGCAAGGGTCTTTTTATGACCAATATTCTACACACACCTGTTTTAATTGTAAAGTTGAACACCAGGCACATATTTACAAATTAAAAAAAAAAAAATTAACCAACTCCCCCAAGTGTGCAAATTTGCCTTGATATGTACCTACACAGAACACAGATGGGTCGAAGGAAGGCCAGCACAAAGGAGACAGTCATGCTGCTTGATTGCAATGCTGCACTTGTGATTAGCTAATCAATGTGCTGCTACTTCTTAAAACAGAACTACATTCACAAAAGCATTCTTTTAGATGTATTCCTTGTTGCACACCGGCCAGTTCGGCAGTTGTCGAACAAGCAGGCCACTAACTCGCCGAGAATCGTACGATTCCCGGTGGGTTTTCCAGCCTGCTTGTTCGATGGAAGACGTGCGACCGTACAGTAGAAACGGTCGCACGCCTTCCATACACTGCCCGATTCTCGTATGATCGCGGGATTCTCGTACAAGAATCGTGCAGTGTATGGGCACCTTATGCCACACATCGGCTGTGCAGACAGCAGAGCACTAAAGGCTGTCTAAAGTAAACTACAGGAGGATTGATTGGATACAAGACCAGTCGTCATACACAAGGAGAGAGAGGAGCATTGACTGGTCTTTATTACAGGAAATCCTGTACAGGGGAGTTTCCATACTGGATACCTGCACAAAGCTAGAAGAAATACATACAAAATACCAAGATTCAAGTAGGAATACACATGGCCCTTGTATTTAGACAATATTTGTTTAGCCCTGAGTTTAGCTTTAGGTATCCAGTCGGCAGCTGGGGGTGACCAATCTCTGCTGCTACTAGTGTACAGATGAACCTGCCCGTGCTGTTTGGCAAGGATGCTTGAGTCACAAGTATGGATGAACAATATAAAAAACAAAATCTTTATATTTACTCCAGCTTTGTATTTAGCAGTGTTCATCTAAAGTTAACGGTGTAAAACAAAAAATGTTTTGTTCTTTGTTTTGGAGTATAAGTAATAAAGGATATATAATTTTGTCTTATTTAGTACCAATGGACCCCAGCTTAGTTATAGTTGTGCAAGCCAAGGAGGATGCATATGTCCCAAGGGTCGGTGTACGCAGCCTTCTAGAAATCTGGCCCGGTTGTGAGATCCGATATATAGAAGGCGGCCATGTCAGTGCCTACCTCTTCAAACAAGGGCTTTTCAGGTATTCGTGTTCATGACCATCTGTTTTGTTTCTTATTGTTGTTGTCTCATGTAACTTGACCAATGCACAATTGTGGCACATGTGCAATTTAGTATTTCCTTCTACCTTCTCAATGAGAAGTACAGGACAATCCCACCAAATATGAAGGTAGGTACCTAGAGTACATCTGCATCTCCAACAAACCTCAGAGGAGGATGGAAATATACGGTGAAGAGTAACTGGATCCCGATACTATCGAGCCACTATTTTATAATTTTTCTCTTGGGCGGAGGCGGAGACCAAAGATTTATGAATAAAGAAGAATGCAGTGTCCCAATCCAAGGAATAGCCTAGCTCCTGGTGCCACAACTCGACGTACCGTGGCAAGTGGTCATTCCATCTAGTAGTAAGCAGTCTATACATCATGGACAGTACATGGCCTGGGGGTCCTTGAGAAGAGCATCATTTTTCAAAGGCCGAGGATTAGCCTGTTTAAAGCTGCCCTAAGGAGTAGAAAAGTTGTTTTCTTTAGGGTGTAGCCTGTCTACACAACCAGACAATACGATGCATTTACTTTATAATACACTGCATATTTAATCATAACCTTTACAAAATGGATTAACTTTGGAAAAAACTTTCACTTGCTGATCATAATGGAATTTCTTATTAGTATAGTCCGCATGTGTGAGATACACAGATGTGAACAGTGTAGTGTTGGAGGCCTCACACAGCTCCAACCAAAACTGGTCAGAACCTGAAAGTAACATTGGACCACCAACAATCAACTGTGGGCCGGGGCATTCCTCACTGTGCAGCTGCACATAAACAAACGGGGGTTGCTTGTGCTGACATCATTTACCTTGTGGCCATATAAGGTCAAATGACATTGCAGCTTCCATCTCCTTTACTTACCTGCAGCTGCAGGAGGGGAAATCCCCAGCCAGAACTGCTTGGACAGAAGCAGAAGGAGCTTCCTTCCGTGTTCGGAGCAGCTCAGGTTCAGCCTGGTTTAATTTAAACCTGAGCGCTTCCCTGTGATGGGAAACAACCACATGTGCAAGGGAGCAGATGGAGACTGCCATTATTCTCTAAGGTAATTTGCCATTGCACATTATCTTAGGTCTATGGAACAGGAAGTAATCAGTATCTTTCTAGTGATTCACAGCAAAAACCCATTCCATAATCTATCCAAAACGTGGCCATACATACAATTTGTCTGATAAATATAGTTCATGTTCATTTTTTTTTTTCTTTCTAGGAAAGCCATCTATGATGCCTTTAATCGGTTTCTTCAGAAGTATCCTATGTGATTACGTGTGCGGACTTTCTTTGGTGTGTCCACGTCCATTCCGTCCTTAACAGACTGCTTCATTATCTGTAATAAGCACAAATGCAGAGCTTAAGGGAAAATATCACCACAGTCTCCAGTATGGTGCTGCAAAGCATGGAGTAGCTGCCTCTGTAAAGCTCTTCATGCTTACCAAAGGATGTGTTGAGGTTTTTCTGTTGACAGTGTTTCTTCTTTCTTTGAGGGAAGCGATCATATTTTCTATGATGGTAAAGAGTCCTTTGGATTACTGTTAGACCTTCTTTCTTGACCTTGTTCTGTGTGAAGACATGCAATGAGTTGAAGATTTGTACTTTAATCATTTTTAGCATTTTATACCCATTTTTTAACTGCCTTCAATGTTTAATGATTTCAAATTACGGAAGATCAAATGTAACAGTTTTGCACTCTAACCTAATTGAATGTAAGTGATTTGATGGTCAGGAGGATACTTCATACCAAAATCATGTCAACATGCCTTTGCTCACTAATTAATGGAGTACCTAATCTTGATGAATAAAAAAATGTGTATATTTGGTAATATATCTTTATGAAGTGAGACTACGTATTCTTTGTAAAAACATGTCCTCTTTTTTCAATTTAAAGGCTAGTTATCTGTCACCAACTTTGGCACCTGGTTCAGAAGCCTCACATGAAGCAGTAACGTCACCTGTATAGGGGTCTAATAGTCTTAGAATGGCTGCTGTATCATAGGCTTCTGAGACTAAGGCCCCGTTCACACCAGGGCATTTCGTTGCATGTTTTTTGTCCCCACAGAAATGCATGCAACATAAAAGCCCATGTATCCCTTTGGGAGCCGTTCTCACAAACATCCTGAATCGCGCGTAAAAATACGCCTGGTGTTTGAAATAGTCCTTGAGCTTCTTTTGTGGCACTTATCAGCCCGTTTTGCTCCATAGACTTCAATGGAAACGCACCGATCATTGGACAACTCGAAAACGCGCCTTAAACGATATTGCTTATGAACACAAAAAGCCTGTAAAATACGCTGATAGGCACATAAAAAAAGCATGCGTAAAGCACGCTGAAACACTGTCGCCCTGGTGTGAATGGGGTCTCACAGTTACGTGACAGATTGCTAAACTCCAACAAATTTTAGTTGGCTGTCATATAGACCTTCATGCTTCAAAACTTTGTCAGTGACCCAAAACAAGTATGTAAATGAGGACTAACTTTTCTCTGACTTTCCTGATTTCTATACTGGTTTCACATCAGTGACCCGGTCAGTACTAAAACCCATAGTTCGGCATAACCTCGAGGGAACTAGCATTTTTAGAAGGTGGCCAGCAATATCAAGCTCCTATATTTGTGATTTACATGTTTGATGGTTGATTTGACAGCATTGCTGCATTGGTAATCACGGGGTTAAAACTTTGCTAAGATGCTGCCACATCTAAAAAACATTGCCTAGTCTAACTTCCAGTCTAGAGATCAAAGGCCTGACGGAAATGTTGCAGGAACAAACTCCTTCTCTGGCTCTGACTGCTGTTTGCTTTCTCACAGTCCCAGCTGGACAGTAACGCAAAATAAAATCTTTGATGGGTATTTGTGCATTAAAGAGGAACTTTACCCATATCTTTAAAATGACAACAAACACACCTTTAGAAATGTTTAGTAATGACAATCTACAGACACATACTTCTAGATAATTGCCGGCTTTGTTTTCCTTGCATACCTTCTTTCCCGCTTCTTCCCCAGTCTTCTGACAGTGGCCATTTTTACTAAGGGCAGATTATTATATCTCCCTTTTACTTCCTGCATTTCTAACACATGTGACTAGGACATGTGACCATGCACATCATCTCAGGGGAGAAAAATGCCTTTCCCTGAGATCTTGTGAGATTACAGATGAGATTTCCCAGCAATGCTCTGCTGCTGTAACCTTCCCAGGATGAAATGCTTGGGCACATTACATCATTTGTGCCAGAATTGGACCAGGAAGTAGATTAACTCTATTTGTAAGTAAATGAAAAACATGTTTGTTTAACTAATGAATGTACAATGATTTTAAATCAGCATCCAGAGATGTATGCTGATGTGATTTTTAGTGAAAGGGGATAAAGATCCGCTTTAACTAAAAATATGTGTGAATAGTAAAAGGAAAAATATAATAACTAAACCAAACTAACATTGATGATGCCCACCTTCACAGTACTACCCACCTCTCCAGTATGCCATTGGAGCCACTAAAATAACTGAACACTTTGTTTCCCACAAGGCAGTGATTGGTGCCTCAGTGACATACGACCATCAGAACCTACGCCTGTGCAAATACTGATTGTAAGGCTGGGCACACACCTTACAACCATCGCAAGACTTTTGTCTTGCGATGGTTGTAAGGTAATTTAAAAAACGTACGATCTGCCTATCTTGCATAGGTAGATCGTACTTGCCATGATCGCAAGCCACGCCCCCTTAGGGGCGGGCTTCCGATGACCGCAATGCCGAACGGGCAGTGTGCGCTTGCGCACACCGGCCCGTACGGCTGTTATCGTACGGACATTCCACAAACCCACCGAACATCGTACGATGCTCGGCGGGTTTTCGAACATGTCCGTAGGTTTAAAGTCGTGCGACCTTACAGTAGTAGAGGTCGCACGGCTTCCACACACCTTACGATAATCGTACGATCGCGGGATTTTTCCAGGCTGAGAACCTTTTCAGCAAGTACAAAAAAATACCTGATAATCTTGCCTGAAAGTATACTTTTCACAATTTGCTGCCAGCTGGTGAAAATAAAACAATAAGATTGAAGAATCAAAATATAGATGACCTAGAAAGGGTTAATCTGGAATGAGGGCTTTTACTGTCGGGGCTCTATTAGAGAGATTTCACCTCACTTCCTGTCCTGCTGACATTTTACAAAACAGGAAGTGAGAACTCTCCAACTACAAAACAGACAGAAATAAAACTGCTTTTCTATATTGGCTCGAAACCCTGTCACATCTGTATTTCTGTCGGTGTCCCTGTTGCAAATTTCCTCTCACTTCCTGTCTGGTGAAACCATTGTCAGATGGACAGGAAGTGAGGCCCTATTCACCCTTTTAATTAGGGCTACATTCCAAGTTTCAGTGGCACCAATCAGCAGATATTTTGCGGCTGTAATCACCGGTGTCTGTGAATAGCTGTGGCCAGATACGAAGCAATGACAGGCTGCACCGGCCTCAGCTGTTCGCACATCCAGCTATCAGTTGGGGTTTGGGTGAGATCTTTGTTCCTGGGTGCGGTACACCCCCGTGATTCCAGCCATAAGAATCCGCTGATTTTTGCTGCTGGAATTCGTTGTGTAGCCCTAATCACAAGTGTGAATGGGACCTAAGCAAGGCTGTCCCTATAATGAGGCAGCTGGAGACGGTATCATATTGGGGTGCAGGCCGAGTGGGGGGGCAGTCACAGCTTCCCAGGTTGCTAAGAGTTCTTGGCAACCTCTGATGCTCTGCAGTGGGGCTTCTTGCCCGCCTCATTGATATCACCTGTTGCAAGGAGCTCCGGGCAACCAGTGATGTCACTGGGCTGGGCGGGACACCGGGCAAAGCTGCTGACAGCGCAGTTCGGCATCCACCACGCCCCCTGACGATCCAGCCGCCAGCATGCTATCTTTGTACAGCTTTAGATTTACCAAAAACGATTAAATATTATTATACAGGATTATCAACTAATCTATCTAATCAGTATCCAGTCAGTCACTTGCACTACATAGTTGTTGGTAGATCTAAAGGTAAATCTTTGTAATGGAACCTCCAGACAGCAGTAAAATGGTAGTGGAGTTCCAATCCTTCTACCTTTTTATACAGTAGACAGTAGAAGAAGAGACATACACTTTTTTGGCATTTTCTCTTTAGCTGATTCCAGATCAAACTTTTCTTCTAAATGAATAACACCCTGATCCTATTTGTTACAGTAGCAAAGTCGGGGATAAAAGCCTTCCTGGTTTCCTCTTTCATCTGATAGCCAGAAGGCTAGAACCACAGGGAGACAAATATAGGCAGCACAGAAGTCGCTCATAACTTTGGAGCTGTCAGAGGGGTCATCCCATTACACAGGGGCGGAGCGAGCTCCCCTCCCCGCAGACTGACAGCTGCCATGACAGCTGTGCGCATGCGCGCCTCCGACCGTTCTCAAATAAGCAATGCGCGCCCCCGGAATGGGCGGGGCACGTGGACGTGCGCGGTTTGTAAGTAAATAAACGCTCCCGTGTTTGATCTGCATCGTGAACGCGCTTCGGACACCTAGTGGGTGACGAGTAATAGAGGAATACATATGTCCACCTTGCGGTCATGCGCATAGATCGGCCGATGGTGACTCCCTCGGGTGACAAGCTGTAAGACTTCGTGGTCGGGGTTGGTTCTGGTTGAGTGGGTGCATAGTGTGTGTACTGGGTGCTGATCGTAGTGCTTCCTGTGCTGTGTGCAGTCCTTGTTTGTGTTCCTGTAACCCGAGCACCGAATCCTCAGCAGTCAGGCCCCCCTCCACCTGCACACACTGCTGCACTGTAGCCATCTGTCAGTGCATTGGTAACAGTGGACTATGCACAACTCTGTATCAGTATATCCAGCCTGGCAGAAGTTTCTTTCCGTGTAGATCCCTGTCTCAGCACTCTTGCATGAATCTTCTACACCCCAAGCTCAGCAGCCAGTACTGTTGCTTGGTACACACCCCATACACCAATCCTTGAGGGCCAAAGATGGCAGCTAAGGTCCACAAGCAACCGGCTCTAAGGGATACAGAGAAAAGTGAAGCCCAGGACTCTATGGTCCAGAAGGCCCAGGTACACAAAACACAAGAACAGTGCTGCAACAAGGAGAATGACCAGCAGGGATCCTCCAACCGGCCTTCACAGTTCACTGCCACCGAGACAAGGAAAGACATTGAGGCCCCAGTGCCAAGCGTCAACCCCTGGACCAGGAAGGGCAACGTAACCTCTGTGCATGGTGCTCCTGGGCATGCAGGTAAGTGACTATATTGCCATGCTGTCATGTATTACCATACTATCATGTTCCAGCTTTGCATTGTACACATATGGTAACGCCAACATGCTTTCTGATGGCTTGCAGGACGTCCCAAGTGGTGATTATACTTGATTGGCATTGTACTAACACAAAAATCCAGGCACACAGCCAAATATATAAATGAAATATCGATATGATGAGTTTTTACCTGCCAAAGGACTTGTATTACTGTACACCCAGTGCTAAGATTTAGGCCCCGTTCACATTGAGTGATTTATCGCGCGGTAATTCCCACGATATCGCGGCTATTTACCGCGCGATATCGCTCTTCAATGCATCTCAATGGGGCAAAGGGTTCTGCTGTCGCGGGTCGTGTGTCGCTACAGCAGGACCCTTTTTGGAGCGGATTTTTTGCTCAATGCAAGCATTTGCGCGATATCGCGTGACAAACGCATGATTTGCGAATCGCACAGTGTGAATGGGGCCTTACACAACACTGCCAGGGAGAGGACTACACTTTCCCTGTTAGGCCCCATTCACCCTGTGTGTTCTGATCAGATCAGGCTGTCAGTTTATCAGGCGCAACTAATTGGAAGCCCAATGGTCTGCCGATCATCTGGAAAAAAAACAAACAATGTTTTGTTTACGTGGACCTGATTGCGACCAATCAGAGGTAATCGGATGTAAACTGACACATGTCCCACTTACATTTGACTCCCCATAAACCCAATATGGGTCTGTACAGCTCAGTTTTTTCCTACATTGCAAGATGGAGGAAGAAATTGAACGGACACGGATGTCACAAAATTGATATTCATCTCGTACTGCACAGATCAGTAGGGGATCAGTGCACAGAATGGACGCCATCCATGTGCTAAGTTCACATGTGTGGGAAAACAAGGCAAAGGAGCCATGTTGTTAAAGCCTCCCAACCGCCTATCAAGGCACTATAGGGATTTTTGTTTTTTTAAGTGGTCAGCGCAGTAAACACATGTGCGATTGTGTGGCATTGCGGTAGCATGTCACTCAGAATGTACAGGGGCAGTGTAAACTGAATTTGCCCAAGCAGCGCAACCCTGTCAGTGACACACACCCCTCCCGGCCCAATCAGCTGCCGCCAGGAAGGCGGGAAGGAGGACCAAGCCGCACAAACCCCTACATGCAGTGTTCGGGAGGCTTTTCTGCTTGTCAACTGCCGCTATTCATTTTAATCTAAGCGTGCTGTATTTTTTTTTTTTTTTAAGCCCGTGGAACGTGCGTCTAAACAAACTTCCCCCTGTGAACAAAAAAAGTGAACCGTGAAATCACAGCACACAAAAACGTGCACAAGGGTGCAAGGTCCTTCCGAAGAAGGGACCTACTTCCCGACCCCCCGGGGCGCAAGGCTCCTGACAGGGGTTGAGACTGTTGGTCCACCAACCCGAAGGCCGGTGGACCCATTTCCTTCGGGGACCTGCCGAAACAGGTCCCTCACAGTACTAGGCAGGGGGGGATCTCCCGAAGAGAAACCCCCCTCCTGGGTGGGAGGAGACAGAGAACCCCATAGGAGGCACAGAATCTCCTCCCAGCATCAGGAATAGGCCCTGAAGAAACCTGCACCGTCAGCATCTGTGGGTCAATGCCAAAAAAAGGCCTATCGTGCATAGAGTGCAATAAATAATAAGTGCCAGTGCACCACGCTGACAGGCCCTAGGGGCCGAGTGCAAAAAAATTGCCCCGGACTAGCCATAAGGTCTGTCCAAGAGGCGTTGTGCAGAAAAATGCAATGTGGTGTGTGACCAAGTGCGTCAGTGAGGGTAGGACCCTAACCCTGTGATTTTCTGAGCACCCCTGGGATGCCACCCCCAGGGGGCACAACACCACGGGCTTCTGCCGCCCCCAGCCCTCCAGCCTTGATCAAGTTTCGGATCTGCCCATTATCAGGAGTCTAGAGCACCTTACAGAGGCTCGACACCAAGCGCACCCATTAACGAAGAGTCGTTAACCCGGGGTCCGCAGCCTCCTCCAGTACTCAGACAATTACACAGGCAATTGGCTACCTGTGCATCTTTGACTGATACGAACAGATACTACACTTGATCTTAGCCAAAAGGCCGAGAAGTAACCACAACTATAGCAGTCACGGTGGGTTTGAAAAGTATTTTTGGTGATTTTACGAGAAGAGACACTGGAGGTTCCTATTCTGGTAAATGACAGAGGGAGAATACAGAGCAGATCCTGTAGCCACTTGCTGTGTCCGTACCCACACCAGTGCTTATAGTCAGTTCCAGTGCCAGACAGTATTGCTGCCAACCAGTACAAAGTACCAGCCTTAAGAAAGAAAAAATGCTTAGTAATTTACCATAAACATAAGTTGAGTGTTTAGCAACGTTTTAACCACTTTGAAATTCTTGGCACACATATAAACAAGCTCTTAAATGTAAGGAATACAGTGGTGCCTGCTCCCCGTCCCAAGTCTGCTGATTGGACAGTGAAAGAGCAGTGGCATACCAATGAGACCACCCCTTTGTTCACTCTGAATGTCCCTTAACACATTTGCATGCAGCACGCCTGATTGGCTCCCATTCCAGCCCCTTCCTTTTCCAGACAGAGTACAGGGGATTAGAAGAGCTTGATTGTAGTTAAATTCAACTACTTACACTAGTTGCATATAAAAATACATGTTCTGATTTGCTAATGAATACCAGTTTTGCAATCATTTTGTGTCTTTTTAAATCAGTGTGCAGTTCAGCTTTAAATCGCTTGCATGTCTGGATTGATTTTTCTTTTCCTACCAGGTAAAACCCTAATAAAAATACTGCCGACCATCTCTTGGTTGCTCTAATGTAAACCTGTGGCCAGACTATACACAATAACATTTTGACATACCTTTAAAAAGACACTGTCCCCTTGCCCATTACCGGCAACATGGCCGTGTCTTTGTAAAGGACTAGGAAGATGCAACCATTTTGCAGTGTGTCTTTAAGAAGAAGAACGTTTACTTTTACCCGTTTCCTCCAGTGTAATGCATATATTACACTGTGATCGCCATCCGCTTCTGGTCACCGATTACAATCAGGAGCCGGTGGGACAGCTAATTACTGTGATCACATGATTAGGAAGCCCCCCTCTGACTCCTGGCATTGAGAACCTGTCGGCAAGGGTTTAAAACAAGTTCTCATTACTTCTGTAGCCACTGTGGAGAAATAATTCTGCAAAGTTCACAACAGAGGCAATGAAATAGCAGCTCATGTCCCCTTTTTACTCTGACAGCAGAACATTGGCACCCTTCTATTCTAAACAAACAGTATGTGCTGCAGCTGTTCAGAAACCCACTACAAGCTGACTTCAGAGTCTCTGTTATGATTCTTGAGGATTTACTACTCCAGAGTGCATGCAGTTACAGAGGTCAGTGAGGACTTGTTGTTTTAAAGCTTGTTTTCTGCCTCTAAGTATGTCATTATTTATGTCCATAGCCTGGCTACAGGTTCACTTCAAAACAGAAACGTATTCCTTTTTAGATACCCATCTCTGTTAACAAAGCTCAAGCAACAAATCGATTCCCTATGTAAAATTGAAACAATACACTTCATGCTTGTGTTTATTTCTTATCACCTAGGTCCTAGACACTTGTGCATGCTAACGTTACCACTGAGGATGCCTTGATGGCTGAGAAGTGTCCCAGATCACTCAATGTCAAACATTCACATGTCTTGATAGGAGACCGGTAAATGAAAGGCAGCCTCTCATGCACCTCCTCCTAGGTCCTGATAATATAATAGGCTGGGTGAGACAGATTGGTTGTAGTGATAGGTATCCCCAGGAGAAGCTTTAGGATTAGTAACAAGTACATAGTTACATAGTATTTGAGGTTGAATAAAGACATTAGTCCATCAAGTCCAACCTATTAGACCTTGTGCACATTTCCTGACAGATCTGTTTAGTGCAGGCTAAATTATTATTATTATACAGGATTTATATAGCGCCAACAGTTTGCGCAGTGCTTTACAATATAAGGATATAACCTAGATGAAAATGTCCACCAAACACTTGACAGCTTCTGCACATGGCACAGAACATAGCATGTAGGCAGCACTTGTCCTTTGTAGTTGAATTTCTCAGCATTCAAAATTAGTCCTGTGTAGTAGGTGAGCTTCCCATGAGGTTACATTGAAAGGGTATCTAAGTCAAAAAGCAAATATGTCATATATTGCAGCTTACCAGTCCTTAGATGTGGTGGATGCATTTGTTTTCTTTTTCAGGCTTTTTTTTTTCCTTTTTCACGTGGTGATCTGTTTTGAAGTTTTGTTATTTTTCAACGTTCTTTAACAGGCCAAGCTGTCCAGCAAAAGTGTCAGAGGGTTTAGACCAACCATTGAACCTTGTATCTAAAACCTTTATCCTTAAAGGAGAATTATGAGGCGAGTGATTTTCATACTACCCTCCACACAGGGTGACAATGCCGCTGTCCCAGGGTGGCTCCATTACTCCTCTATAGAGTGCAGCCATCATAAGACTGGAGGTGTGTTACTGGCTGGATCACCAGGTGAAAAGAAAGCTAATGGAGCCACCAGATGAAGTGACTGGTAAACTGGAATATATTACATTTTTGTATTTGGGTTTACATATTAAAGGAGAACTATAGGTTCAGTGTTTTTCCCCATAGTTCTCGGTTCAAGGTTAACGGGAGGACACAAACTAGCGTCCTCCCGTTACCCTAAGCTCAGTATACCGCGAGCTACAGCTTGCGGTATACTGAGACGCCACAGCCGCCACGTCCCGTCGACGTAGATGACGGGATCCGCCCAGCTGTGTGAGTGACAGCTGGCTCTGCCTATCTAGAGGCAGAGCCAGCTGTACCCGCCCCCTCCCCTGTCCGTTCCGCCAGTCAGCGCTGGCAGATCGGAGCAGGGAGAGGGGAATCCAGCCCCTCCCCCTGTCACGGCAGAGAGCCGTGACAGGATCGAGAGGTGAGCGAACCTGGTATATGTTCGCTCACCTCCCGATCTACTGAGCCGACCTGTGACAGTCTCATTGTCACAGATCGGCTAGAACTATGAGGTGAGTGGAAATCACTCATCTCATAGTTCTCCTTTTAAGGCCTTAGGCCTCATGTGCATGATCTTGATGGCAGAAAAATCCTGTGTTTTAAAAAGAAAAAAAGTAACAAAGAACTGCTTTTGTTTAGCCGCATATAGACCCATAAACGTCAGTACAGTGTTCAGATGTGTAAAATCCTGCTTCCTTGCCATACCATTAAGTGTACACATCTGTGCAGGTATTTATATGCATGCGTGTGTACATTTTCTGTTCTTGGATGAAGATTTATTCATTTTGCTTTTATGGATTTGAACGCAGCGCAGGTTTACTGATCTTAATGCAGCTGTCTGCATGAGCTCATGGAAAACACTATACCTGTATTCAGATCCGCTGCGTTTTTTTTATGGCCATGAGCCCTAAATCTTTTCAGGCAACATTTGCTAACTAGGTTTGCTAAGTCTACATTGAATGGATCCATTAGGAGCGTGTCGTGTGCACAGGAAAAGCCTGTGTACTTTAACCTTAGCGTGTATTCAAGCGTATTTTCAAAGTGACATTAAATCAGCAGCCAGGCTGTAGTACCAAGTCAGCGTTTTGTCTAGGACAGTGGTTCTCAACCTTTTCTAGGGCCGGGACTCCTTGGTAATGTTTGTCAAGTTGTGGTGACCCCCCAACGGTAAAACTTAGGGATGCACCAATACTAGTATCTGTAAACTGGGCATTTGGGCGAATAATCATACTCTCCCAAATGTTCCGATACCGTAGCTGCCGGTCAGAGGGAGATTCCATGCACCCTTGCGACACTGCCGGTCAGCCTGGCTTCCTGACCAATCAGTAATAAGGGTGGTGGGTCATGACCTGCCACCTGGCTTCCTCATTGATCAGGAAGCTAGTATGCAGTGTTTCAGTCATTCAGGAAGCTGGGCAGCGGGTCATCTTCCTGATTGGCCAGGAAGCCAATCTCTTGGGGCACTGTTTTTGATACCGAGAAACTGGGTTTACCCTTGCTGCAGCATGGCTCCCCTTGAGATCACACTCCAGATGAAAGGACTACAAATCCCAGTAATCTGTTACACAGCAATGCAGAATACCACCAACTATAGAGGACTGAAAGTCCCAACAATCATTATACAGCAATGCAGGGGGCTCTCTGGCGGTCAGTGCCGGATCCCTGGTGATAAATGTGGCCAGTGCTGGCTCTTTGGTGGCCAATGGGGGCTCGCCAGCGGCTTTGGCACACCAGCAGCTACGGCTGCAGCAGACACGGACTATGTTAGATGTGTTAGTATTCTTCTTTCAAGTATTTTTGTTTCTTTATTTTCACCCGGTGATCCTGCCAGTAACATCCGTCTTGTCCTAGGGTGACAATGCTCACACACTGAATCAATAGAGGAACAACATTGTCACCTTAGGTTGCTTGCTCTCCTGATTTGGACTACAAACACCTCTCCTCATCGTTATAACACAGGTGGAAAGGAAATAACTGTGTTTTGAGATTTCAGTTCAGAGCACAGAAATATACACTGACACTGGATTTCTGGCAGGATCAACATGTGAGTAAAAGAAAACTAATGCAGATCACATCTAAGGGTTGTTCTTTTGGTTTTGATATTTTTTTAATCTAGAATCTAGACCGGTATAAAATACACTCATTAAAGCTGCTGTGTTGTCATTCGGACATCATTTTGCTTTTTTTAAAATCAAGTAGTGTAAATACCTGTATTTGGCTTGGTATCTGCCCCTGGCAATCCCTGTACAGCAGGACTGGAGTGTGAGAGGAAGAAGCAGTACAGGAAGCCAACCTGTTTATTTGCTGACAAGAAGCATTCTGATAGGAGGAGAAAGCAGAATGACAGAGATGAGCTCATTATTCTGCTGCTTCAGCTTTTACTGCCCAGTCAGAGGCTGGGCTAGGTCCAGAACGACCTGGGCTCAGAGGAAATTGGTTAAATGGTGCTGGCCATCAGACAATTCCAATAATTTATATATAGCGCCTGAGGACATCTATCGGTTGAAATAAATGGGCTATTGTTGCATTGTAAAGCTGTATTAGTCTATACTCTGATCTGTATACATGCATGTGAATACTAATAAGAATTAATAATAGCCCTTGCACTGACCCCGCACCGTACTCTGACGCAATGTTTTCAGTAGACAAGAACATTTAAGACCTGAAATACGTGCATGTTGTGGAACTACAAGTCCCATGAGGCACTGCCAGAATGACAGTTACATCCATGACTCCCAGAGACATGTTAGACTTTGTCGTTTCACCACAGCTGGAGGGCTGGAGTTTGCCCAACCCTGGTCTATGGGATTATGTACAGCACTTTTATTTACCTGATCCCCCCGCTCCTCCGGCTGTTGGTGTTGACCTCTCCCGCCACCCCC